CTCTATTGCTCTTTTTTCTTTCAGTTACAGCTGCTTAAATGGGTCAAAAACGTGTCTTATATTTTTCATTGTAATTACTGATCTGCTAAGGAAAAGTAGTGTATTTCACTGAAATGTTTAAGAGTTTGATTGCACAGCATTATGCAGGTCAGAAGGTCTACATACAGTATAGGCCTTAGCAGTTCACAGAAACGCATTGCTGCACTCCACAAGTCTCAAGAACCCTACATTGAAAGAAGCGTGTATCGCTAAGTACTGTAATTGGTTCTTACGTCCTAGCCTTAATTGTTTTAAGTCATGATCTTATTTGCATCAATTTAAAAACCTAATAATGTGCCAGGGCTGCTATGACACCATGATTTATGATTATGATTTATTCCATTTTAATGCATACTGCTTTTATTTAGTTAGAACATTTGTTTTTCTATTGTGTTGTGATTGTCACTGATGTCACTATGTTTGGACTTTTGTCAACATACTCGGATCTTTTAATTTTTTTATTTTTTTTTACACAATGAAATTATTGGATGAGGTGTTTAGATGATTTAATTAATTAAATATGAAATGTTGTGGTTAAAAACAGATGCATTATTACTTCTCCATATAGAAACCCCCAGTTGTCATAGAAACATAGTCAGTGGCACGTGACGTCTTTGAGTAATTGTATTACTACACTGCACATAATCTATTGTGAGGGAAGCACCAAGATACACCATGATGGATGTAATAAAAGTCCAGTGTTAAGGAAAATGGTTGTATTTTTTGGAACGTTATGTATTAGGATATGTACTGTATATAAACCCTGAAAACAGCAATAAATAACCAGAAATAACTGTAGAAAATAGAAATAGAATTGAAAAGAGGAAGCCCTAATTATGAATTAACATATTACAGTTGTAATGGATCCCAAAACTGCCACTGAAAGATTCTCAGAAGCATAAATGTAGGCTAATTTTAATAAGTTCCAAAAGGACAAAAATGCAATAAGATATTCCTGTTTGAGAAATATGCTGGGCATAAGAACATAAGAATGGTTACAATTGAGAGGGGGCTATTTAGCCCATCTAGCCTAATTGCTTGTTAGTAGCTAATTGGTCCAAAGATCACGTTCAGCTTCTTCTTCAGGAAGCCAGGTCTGAATACACTAGGGTCAACCAGGTGCAGGTTGAAGGACAGTCATGTGTGTTGCTGTGCAAAAGACATAGACATTCAAGTCACTGTCAGGCATTACAGTGTATGGATGGTAAGAGCATCAACAATTTGCTTAAAGCTTCCACTACTGTATTTTTTCTACAATACTAGTTTTGACAGTTATCAATGGAGATTTGCCTGGGTGAGAAGAAACTGAGATAGCCATTTAGTAACCTCCAGTTCACCTTGAGTAGAATCTTCATAAACTTTATAAGAATTCCAGGTAAAAAATACATTTTAATAACCTGAACACATACCAAAAGATTTTGGCTAAACACCCTCTGCTAAGAAGCTCTAGCCTGACCAAAATTTGACATTTTAGCATGACAATGATAGAAAACATACATCAAAATTGACAAAGGAACAGTTTACTGCAAACAAAAGTCCATCTCTCTTCAGATGTCAATCCAATTGAATGTTTATGATTCTAGCTGAAGATGGTGTTCTCTAAAGGAACCTAACGTGTCAGAAGGACCTAAGGCAGTTCTACAGGATGGAATGTTCATAAATTTTCCCTATAAAGTCCCAGCACCCCAAAGCACACTACAGGGGTATAAATAAATGTGACTTCTGTGTTTTTCTGAAGTTGTTTTTATGACAAACATGGATTTGCTCTGTGTTATGATTATTCTATAATAAGAGACATTATTAAATATCTTAACTGATGTGTATTATTCCTATTTCATCAAGTTTTTGAGTACATTTGGAGCACTGTGGCTTTGTGTTGATTTTCTTTTCTTCTGCTACTGTAACTAAAACATGGTAATTACAGACAGGATCTTACAGGTGTCATTAATCCTAGTGCTTGCAAGACCCCAGTCCAGGAGGTTCGATATGTCACTCTAAATCACCAGTTATTGGTAACTGTTAATATCTGTAAGTTATTAAATAATTAAGCAAGAACTTTGTTTAGATTAAGGAACTCTGGTTAACCTGCTTCATAAATACTTTCTACAAATCATGTTGCATTGGAGCATTTCAGGACTGCAGTTGGGTGCCAGTGTATTTTAGTGGGGATTGTGCAAGCAGATGGTCTTTCTGCAGATTTTCATTTCAGCTCTACTCTTAAAGATTTAAAATATTGACTTAATTGGACAAATTCAACAACTTCAGATGCTGGTGCTTGAGAGTCTTAGAAAACCTGCAGATATACCAGGCCTATAGGACCAGGATTGCAGATCCTTGCGCTAGCAGTTTCCTTAAGTACTAATCTGGGTCAAAAATCTGAATGTATATCTTTATAATTGTCAAGGACTAGAGTTTCTTTATTGACTACAGTTCTTAACCAATAACCTGCAAGTGTTCCTAATCTTTTAATGAAAGTTGATGTTGTGTGACCTGTAAAACCAACTGGGTCTCTACAAACCAGGATTGGAGACCACTTTACCAGAACACAGGTGTTAAATGGGATTCCAGTCCTTGAGGCTCAGATCTGGCAGGTTATCTGTGTCTGTTTCAATAAAAAACTAACCTTAGAAAAATGTTAAGCTGGTCCAGTTAAGCTATATTTTTCAATTAGGTCATTATGTGCAGAGGTAGAACATAATCCCCAGACACAGCCTCTCTCCAGGCCTGGAGTTGTGCACCGCCATGTTAGAATCTTACAATGGCAGTAAACAATGGTTTTGATTTGTTTTATAAAACCTACAGGTGTTAATGTGTTCTTTTAGGTTTTTCTTCTCTATAGCTTTTTAGTCCTCTTTTTGCAATGTGGATAGTTTAGAATGTGTTAGTTGTTCTTGTACTCAGTTTGTCTACAACAAGAATGACATATCAGACTAAGGACTTTGTTTAATCAATGCCATATTTTCTGTTTATTATCACTTTTCATTTGGTATCTTTTTTTTTACTTTTGTTTGATTTTTATTCCATCTTTCATGCTTGTCTTATTTCATGTTTCATATCAGTAACGATGTGACAGTTAACGTTATTCATTGAAATAACCTTGGAAACTGCGCACCACAGGATATTAGTACACAATGCAGTTTGCTATGCATCTCTGCCAATGTCTGAAAAACAGGCTAATGCTACAATTTTAAAAAATGCTTTCTGTCTTACAGCAAAAATCACTCTGCATAATGAAATACACAGAAGACTTTAAACCAAATCATCAGACTATGAATATATCTTGATTAGAAACATTTATTGAAACGTAATTCATACATAAGCTGTCTCAGTTTAATTTTGTGGTGACAGTAATGTAAGTTTCATAATAACATCTCTACCCTTAATGCCTAAGCTGCAATGCAGTGCAGTCACTCTGAAGGCTGAACTGTGAAGCCAGGGAGACTGGCTCCCTGCCAGAACTCTAGCTTTATTTCCTGCAGGGTATTTCTAATGGATTTGCCCTTCATAAAAAGAAGTCTTAAAAAAAAGGCTTACAAAACTTATGCCCGTCTCACAGACTCAGTAACGATGCATTATTTTATGGTTTGCCATAGTTTATACATTAAATTTGAGTGTAAAAGTTTTCAAGCAATATAAATTGAGCACTAATCTCTTTCTGTTAACTAAAAATATCTTCTTTAAGACGTCATGGCATTATTTTAAATTATTTTGAAGTACATGTTAATTTGAGATGCTGGAACAAAGAAAAAGATGTTGGCCCTATTATTAGAGCCTTTATCTTGACAATCGGTTGTAGGGTTGGGTGTCACGCCAGAGTTGCATCCCCCAGGACCCATGAACTGGACATGAACTCAGATTTGACTGATTTCCATGGGTGTTGCCTTACCGGCAGTGGGCTGTGGAAGCTTAAAAATGTTCTGTATCTGCGTGCATCCGTGGTGTTTATTTAAAAGCCCCAATCCCTGTGCTTTCCTGCAGTGGGCTGGGCTTCCTCAGCCCACTTCATTAAATTTCTGTCCTTGTCCGTCTTGTGTTTCTCTCCACAGTCCAGGCAAAGGGCAGCATGTCTCCCCCTGGAGGCTGTGGCTCTTTCCGTTAAGACATTTTTCTTAGCAGGTTCTCGATCTTTGTGATTTGTATTTGGAGAACATTTTAAAACACCACAATATAAATAAAACTTCTAGCACTTAGTGGATTCCATAATAAAATGTCTCCTAAGAACAGTGTTACAACTTGTGTCTTCTAGTACATACTACCCAGTTTTCTTTGGAATGCTATTGGCACTAAAATGGCAGCTAGTGTAAAAAATGCCTAACTATAGTTCCTTTTAAAAACTTTAGCTCTGATGCAATTTAGTAGTTGCAGGTGTAAAATCACTGATATTATCTGGTGCATAGTGCAGTTCTGAAAGAGCTACATTAAACAGCTGCACACTTTTCAGCTGAAGGGGTTGGTCTGGATACACTTGATTGAAAAAGGACTTCCTAATGTGTTAGTCCATTTAGATAATATCTGCAGTGAATCTGTAACCTTTTTAGCTGCATGCTGTGTGGGTTAAAATAAAAGGTACTTTAAACGTCAATGTCTAGTTTTCTCATTACAACCTGAAATGAGAAATATGTGATAGTTCACTTTACCAAGCACTGAACTATAAAGTAAGTAGCGTTAACATTAATTAATCCGCTTTGTTCTTTCTCATTTGTTAAAGGATTTTTGGTGACATCTCACTGTGCTACAATAGCAATGTTTTACCAAATGTTTTAAAATGGACAATTCCAATGCATTTAAACATTTCAGTGCACTTTAAATTACCTTTTGAAGAACAGTTATAAAAAGTTAGAAGTAGAAAGAAAGCTGACTGGTTCTCTGCCTTTGAAGAGCTTTGTTAATGCCAGCAGGACTTTTATGATAAATGCAATTAGCTGTGTTCTCTACATGTGTTTTTTTTTTCTTTTCTGCAGGATCAAGCATGAAAATATTGTTGCTTTAGAAGATATTTATGAGAGCCCCAACCACTTATACCTTGTAATGCAACTGTAAGTATATGTACATTTATTTATAAATTGATATTGTTTCTATTGCCCCAGATAAAAAAAAGTATATTTTCTTTTTAATGTTCCCTTTTGCATTTTGACAATAATGCAGAAGTGGTATAGATATGCTTTATTTTTTTTCTTTGTAGGATATGAGGGTTAACAGTGAAAACCACAAACATTGCCCATATGTAACTTGCATACATATTAAAATATGTTGTTTTCTACATTTAGGTTTGGAAAACTTTTACTCAATTACTTAATATATAGCTGTAACAAGTCAGTAACACCCATGGTTTTGCTTCAATCTGTTAACATATGAGCAAAACCCACAATGTGCTGTGGATTATAAAATCAGAAAATAATGAAATTGAGTTATTAAATTGATATTGCGGGTTAGATTGACATACACAATTTAATTTTAAATTTTAAATGTTTTCATTTAATTTTAATTCCACAGTGGACATACAGTAATTACGCAGTCCACTTGCTGACTTTTAGTCAGAAAAGTCTGACTTCCACTTCCTGACTTCTTCTCCTCGAAATCCACTCTACTAGGGAGTGCAAGAACTGAAACTGTACCCTTGACTGGGGTCTGTTCACCCCTGTTGCAAAAATATAACTTAAGCAACAAATGTGTGCCCAAGTCTGCAAACATCACTTCCCTCTGCAGATCTGTTGTAATACAAAACATTTGTAGGATTCTTTATCCAAATCTTAACATTTCATAATAGCCCTAATTACCCACAAGAGTTCTAATTACCTTGGAGTAAACCAGTAATAAAGAGGATATTTTAAATTGTTTGCATAGAAGCACCTGTCTAGTTACTGTAAATCTTTGCAAGCCTTTGCAGAGATTTTTTTAAAGCATTGCTTCTGTGTTTATTCTGAATCCCCCAACTGTCTAGTTGAAAGTGAAGCTCAGATAAGAGATCAGAGAAATGGCTGGCGCAGTGGCCACAATCCCACAGTATAATTAACATTCTCCTCCTACACGATGTCTTAAATCTCAGAGCTGACGGCCCACTCTCTCCCTCTGCAGTGCCTCTGTGCCAAGCACATTACGCACTGTAATGTGGACTGTACAGGCATACTAAATGACTTTTTTACCACCAACGATAGCATCAGGTAATTGTATTGACGCAGGAATCTTAGAATGAAAAACCAAGATTTCTTTTATAAATACAAACCTGTAACAGTCAATCCTAAACATATTTGGCCTTCCCTTGAAAGCCGTTTTCCACATCAGATATGCACCCTACAAACTGGCTTGCTTATATGGCTTAAGTATAAAAGGAACAACAGATAAAAATACATCCTTCTATTAAGACTCTTAATAGAAAATTATCAATTTTGTGTAGTCACAAAACAAACTCCTCTCCTAAAAATGTTCTTTGTAATATGCTGTAAAACAACAACAAAGGCTATTGTTTCCAATAACCATTTACTTCCTCTCAGTATACACTATTTTCCCATGGTGGAGCTATAAACAACACTTTCACCTTCCAGGAATGCTCTAGAATATCTAGATGTTTAAGGGGAATCCTTCCTTTTTCTCTAACGGATCAGAAATAAAAAGATGTAGGACTAATAGTTTTTGTGGCACTGGAGCATGAGTAGAGATTGCAGCATGAAATTAAGGACCACGCTCATTTAAGGTATGGAGGTGACAGACTCTTTTATTTAGTTTAGAAACTGAAGTCTTAAAGGAACAAGATGAACAGTAAAAACAAATACTGTACCATTGAATCTGTGGATCCTTGTTCATTTGTGTGGAGGAGAGCAGAAATAGGAAGCAAAAGGTTGTTGTGGGAAGGTAAAGGAAATCATGTGAATGAGTAGGAGGAGGTGAAAAGCAGGGTAAAGAAATCGAAATCTGGTTAACAGATTCCAGGGAAACGTGGAAGGCAGAAATCCGTAAACGAATGGAGAGATCAGAAAGAATTTAGTCTACTGTTGAAGTACATTCGTAGAAAACCAGAATGTTGTATTTTTACAGAAAGGGAGCAGAAAATGTAATTACATGGCCTGAATTGATGTGCTTTGATGTGCTAGTTTGTGACCCTTATGCTGCCTTGTTTTAAAACCTTCCACATGCTGTCACATTATGTCTAATCTGCCAAATATTAGGGTCATAGGCCCATAAATCAGTGTAGAAACGAATAGACTTTCATCATTTGGGTGCAGTATATGTGCAATTATGATGTCAACATTAATATACTGCTATTTCAATAGGTGCTTTTTTGTTTCAATTCAGGAAGTGGAAATCCATACAGTAAGCAGAAAAAAAGAAAACCAAATGTATTATATAATTATATAAGTATTTGCTACATAACAGTCTGAAATATCTTAAAAATAACAGCTTTGGTGTCCTTAAAATCAGATTAAATTACTGCTTTATCATGACAATGTACAGTAGTGTTATTTATGGAGCTGCGGTATACAGCCGAGCTAAGGTCACAGCAGGGCAAGGTGAGCCTCACATCTAAGAAGCAAGGGCAGAGACGAGCAGCGTGACATGTACTCCAGGATCAATTTCCAGAAAACGGTTAGTGCGTTCACAGAAAACACGGAAAGCTTTCTGTTAGCCTTCCAGCTCTGGGCAGATAAAATAATATACAGTAACTGCATATCCAGGCTTTTTTATGTGAGGTTTGCACACGTAGGTCTTTTTAGTTTCTGTTATTGTAAAAACATGCAGTACCTTTTCATGTACTTTTCATGCAGTACTAGTGCTGTGCTTTTACAGCCTCAGTCCAGTAAAAAATAAAGATGTCAGTACAACAAAAAATAAAATTAGCTTTTGTCAATTGTAATTGTAAACTAGACACTAAATTGCATTTGTGTATGAAACAAGAAACTGCAGTTAGATGCCAAAATGCCTTAAATATTCTATTAACCAGCTTAGATAAGCTGTTCTTATGAAATATTTGTTTTTATCTAATTAAGTGATAATAGGTAGTAAAAATAGATAATGACATAGGTTGTTCTGACAAATTCTAGTGTAGAATTGTTTATGATGAAAATATAAGTTTTAACTTCTTTATTTATAATCTCAGAAATTCTAATCTAATTCAAGCCTTATGTTTATGTATACAGACTTCACAGTGTTATGCAAAAGTATTCACACCTTATAAAGTTTCCACATTTGCTGCCACCTGTTGCTTGCAATAATGACACTTTTAGATAGGATCTAATCCAAACTGAACAATTTAAAAATGCTGTTAATACTATATTTGTATAAGTCAGAATTTCAAGGAAACTCAGAAGATGCTTAAATGGTATCCAATTCTTTTGCTATGCCACCCCTAAATCATTTAATGAGCATAACCTCAGTTTTAAATGTCACTATTTCAGAGTAAATTCATATGTGTCTGTTAGATATTGAATTATGGAGTGAGAATTCACATATTGATATGGGAAACCAACCATGAAAACCAAGTACGTTTCAAACAAGTCAGAGATAATGTACAGTAGTAGAGAAGCAGAGATTAGAAGAAAATAACAAGTTTCTAAAAAATGTGTAACCAATCCAAAATGTTGCTGGCTGTCATACCTTCCAGAGCTGCTAGATCAGGTTACCCTTCCAAAATGATCGGGTGGGCAAGCAGAACACTGATTAGAGATGTCACTGTTACAATGTGACATGAGTGGCATCAATTAACAGTAACCCAGTCCCTATACAAACCTATCCTGTATGGACAAGTGCCAAGAAAGCAAATGTTACTGCATACAGTATGTTGCAAAAGGTTTTCAGATGAGACAAAAAACGTGTGGTCTAAATGGCAAAATGTTATGTTTGGCACCAGATCGCCATGATGCTGACACGAACAGGATTGACATCACCTAGTTAGCCTGTAAGCCTCTATCAGCCACCTTGATTGTCAAGCAGCTACTGGGAAACTTCTCGGGGTTTAGTGGAAAATAGATGCAAATGCCAAATTACAGGCAAACCCTCTTGAGACCACAAAGAAACTAAAACCGAGTCCAAAATTCATGTTTCAGCAGGACAGTTACCTGAACTGCTGTACAAGATAAGATCACTTTATCAGCCCTATACAGTTTCTTGCATTAGGAATTTGTCTTTTCGCATACCCCACTTTGCTCTCCATGAGACACACAGACACAGAGAGAAGCTAGGGGTCAGAGCAGAGGGTCAGCCATTGCGCCCCTGGAGCACCTGGGGTTAAGGGCCTTGCTCAGGAGCCCAACGGAGTAAGATTCTTCTGCCGGGCGCGGGAATCGAACCGGCAACCTTCCAGCCACAGGTGAAGATCCTTAGCCACAGAGCCACCTCTCCGTCCCTAGGCCAAAACCACACTGTGTTGATAAGAACATAAGAAAGGTTCCAAACAAGAAGAGGCCCATCTAACTTCTTTGGTCGTAGTTAATTGATCCAAGGATCTCATGCAGCCATGTCTTAAAAGAAACTCGGATGACTGAATGGGAATGATGATAAAGAATAAGAAAAGAATGTATATCCTTGAGTGCCTGAGTCACAGTTCTTGTTAAAGATGAGTTTAGGGATCCTATGCAAAAGAGGAATCGGTTAAAGTATATCTAAAATGCAGTCCAAAATCATAGGCAAGAGATGAAAGCCAAGGGTCAAAGTAACCAAAGAAGGTATAAAGCCAAGTCCAAACCGTAATCCAAGGATCTACGTCAGGGGGAAACACAAACCGTAGCCAGGAAAGCACCAAAGTTTAGGTCCATCACAAACCGGAAGAGTAGCTCACTAGATAAGACCAATACTGAGCAAGGAGTTAAAGGTAGCCTGGGTTTAAGGATGCTAAACGGTGGAGGTGTGGCGGTGAGTGAGGGATCTGATTGGTTAAGTGCTTCTACGTCTTTGCTTGATGTGTCTGGAAGCCAGCACCGTAACGGTTCCGTCTTGAATCCAATAGAAGATTTACAGTATCTCGAGACTTGAAGACTGCAGCCTATCAGCGATCCCCAACGAACGTTTCAGAAGCAGAGCAATTTTTCCAGCAAGAGTGCGAAAA